TTCTCCAAATAAATCGATACACCCTTCTGCTAAAAAACAAAACTCTTTTTTCAATTAACCCTATTTCGCTTCTGCTCGAGCTCGAATTCGGCGACCGGCAGTCTGAATCGGCGGCAGCTACTGGGTTTGAGGCTCTTCTTCAACTGAAATAGGATGTTTATTTGAGTAAAATATTAATTTTATTTGAGTAAGTTTTGTTTTCTTTTGAAAGTATTAATTTAGCAAAATAATTTTGTATAAAAAATTTTCTTTCTGCAAAGAGTTTTAGAGCCAAAAAGTAAATGCCAAATTAATTTTGTAGGCATTTGAATATTGTGTGCTAGTGTTATTTTGAAATATTCTTTCAGTGAAGTGTTTCTTTTCAAACCAAAAACTTTGAATTAAGCATTTTTTATAGACTAAAGTGAAATTTCGAACTTGTTTAATTTAATTAATACTTGTTCTCATAGTAGTTATACTAAGCAGTAAGCCTTTATTATAACTTGAAAATTTTAAATTTTTTATTCACAAAGTAACGTAGTATAACTTTAATATTTTTGCAGAGTTTGCATATTACAAGACAAGATCAATTATATTATGTTTTGCTGAACTAAAAGCCTTTTCACTTCAAGGATAAAAAATTTCACAAATTGGTTAAGTGTTTCTATTTTAAAGGGTGTAATTTCTCTATTTTAAATGTTATGTTTCCTTTTTCTTGATAGAAGGGGTGCGATTCCCCTAATGAAAGTTTGCTTTTATTATTGATGGACACTTAAATTGAATTGAATCATTGTTTTGTAGGAAGTTCTTGTAACTTGAGATGGACGTATTTTTTACGAGGTTTAATTCTTCTCAACTAAGTTCTAGTTTTAGAGAGAATTCCTTCCGTCTCGTCGATGAATTTGATGTGGAATCACTAAATACCGACCCCGAAGAGAGAATACCCATTGATAAATATAGCCTTAGAATACGAGATGAAGTGAGAAAATACTACATTAAACAAGGGCCTTGCCAACTGGTTGATTACAAATTCCCTAAAACTTTATTCGAAAAAAAAAATGCGTCAATTTAGTCCGAGTTGGTTTAAATATTCAAACTCTAGATGGTTGGAGTATAGTGTGAAGAAAGATGCGGCATTTTATTTATGTTGCTATTTATTCAAGAATGATTATGTCCATGGAAGCATGGGTGACTCTTTCATAAAAACTGGCTTTAGGGCTTGGAATAAAAATTCGGAAGGACTTGCTTTAAATGTTGGTGAAGTAAATAATCTCCACCATAAGTATTTCAATAAGATGCTAGACTTGTCTAATCAATCTTAGTCAATTCAAGTTGATTTTAACAAGCAATCCGAGAAACAAAGAAGTGATCACCGAATTCATTTAAATACCTCAATTGATGTGTCACGACCCGAAATTTTTTACCGACGGGACCATGATGGCGCCTAACATTTCACTTACTAGGCAAGCCAATGTTAGAGAATCATTTAACTATGATAAAATATAACAAGTGTGGAATATCATAAATCTGTATTAACTACTACCACCTGGATCTGGAGTCACAATTTACGAACATTTTAGAACTTACTACAAGTAATAGTCTGAAAGAAAGAACTGTCTGAATGAAAGAAAACAGTAGGACATAAAAAGATAGACGGGGACTTCAAGGTCTGTGAATGCCGACAAATCTACCTTGAGTCTCCGGACAGTGGACCAATAGCAAATCTCGATCAACCTGAGCCGGTATCAAAATCTGCACAGAAAGTGCAGAGTACAGTATCAGTACAACCGACCCTATGTACTGGTAAGTGTCGAGCCTAACCTCGATGAAGTAGTGACGAGGCTAAGGCAAGATACCTACAATCAACCTGTACAATTTAACAGTGTATACGCAAATAACAGGAATGAAGAACTAAACAGAAAATATTGGGAGGGGAGACATACTGAGGGGAATATAAGATAAAGAACTACAACAGAATGATCACCAGAGCAGTCAGTATACCATGAATCAACAGGAATAGTGAATACAGTAAAGAAGAATGCACGGCATCACCCTTCATGCTTTTACTCTCAATCTCACCATAAAATTTATAGAAACGGCACGGCATCAACCTTCATGCTTTTACTCTCATATCATGACACGGCATCACCCTTCGTGTATTAACACTCACAATATGGCACGATATCACCCTTCGTGCATTAACACTCACAATATAGCACGGCATCACCCTTCGTGCATTAACACTTACAATATGGCACGACATCACCCTTCGTGCATTAATACTCACAATACGGCACATCATCACCCTTTGTATATTAACACTCCCCCTTACCATAATGCAATGCATGGAGAGAGAATAACAAGTACAAATCTTACTTCAATATTTGGTTCCATAATATCAATCTTAACTTTGAAATAAAAACTCAATTATCACCAGAAAATTCTGTAAACATGATAAGAACGATAATTTGAACAACACTAATATAACACGTAGCAATTTGGCATAGGAATGAGACAATATCAGAAAAATAGAGAAACATGGAAAAACCGGTAAATTGGCGGCGCATAGGTACTCGTCACCTCACATATATGCCGCTCACATGAATTTAACTTAGCAAATAATCTAAGGTTCCTAATTCTCTCAAGTCAGGGTTAGACACAACACTTACCTCGATCTGAAGGCCACTTAATTCTCAATCATAGTTTTTCCTTTGGAATTCACCTCCAAACCACTCATATGTCGTATCTATTCAAAAATGACTCAATAATATCAAATATTGCTAAAAGAATCAATTATATTGCATAAATTAAATTTCCCAAATTTTCCTCCAAAAAGTCAAAAAATTGACCCCGGGCCCGCTTGGTCAAAACCCGAGGTTCAGACCAAAATCCTTTTACCCATTCATCCCCGAGCCCGAATATGTAATTAGCTTTGGAATCCGACCTCAAATTGAGGTCTAAATCCCCACATTCCCGAAATCCGTATTTTTTACCCTAACCCCTAATTCTACCATGAAAACTCTAGTTTTTAGGTTGAAAATTCAAGAAATATAATGGGTAATTGAAAGAAAATGGTTTAGAATCACTTACCAACAATTTGGCGAAGGAATGACTCTTGGAAAATCGCCCCTCACCGTTTGATTTTTGAGAAAAATGAGTTTTTTGGCAAAAATCCCGTTTTGGATTCTGTTAAGTGCTGGGCTACAGTGTTCATCGCATTCGCGAGAGCACTGTCACGTTCGCGAAGGGTACTGGCTACCAAGCCTTCGCGTTCGCGATTATCACTCCCCTCTGGCCTTCCCGTTCTCGTTGAGCCGGTCGCGTTCGCAAAGTGTAAATCCCCCATCACTTCGCGTTCGCGACCAGGACTTCGCGTTCGCGAAGAAGAAGTCCCAGCCTCATCAGATTACTCTTCGCGTTCGCGAGAGGACCTTCGCGAACGCGAAGAAGGATATGATAGACACCAGAATCTGCAGAAACTAGATTTTTCCCAAGTCCAAAACATCTTGTGGCCTATTCGAAACTCACCCGAGCCCTCGGGGCTCCAAGCCAAACATGCACACAAGTCCAAAAATATCATACGAACTTGATCGAGTGATCAAATCGCCAAAGTAACATCTAGAACTCTAAATTTAGCACCAAATCAAATGAAATTCTCAAGAACACTTTAAAACTTCTAATTTCTCAACTGGACGACCGAATCACGTCAAATCAACTCCATTTCTCACCAAATTTCATAGACATGTCTTAAATATCATAATGAACCTGTACCGGGCTCCGGAACCAAAATACGGACCCGGTACTAACAATGCCAAACATCAATCAATTCTTAAAAATAATTAATTTTCAGACTTTTAATTTTCATCAAAAATTCATAACTTGAGCTAGGGACCTCCGAATTCGATTCCGGGCATACGCTCAGGTCCCATAATTCGATACGGACCTATCAGAACCGTCAAAGAACGGATCCGGACCCGTTTGTCAAAAATATTGATCGAAGTCAACTAAAATCAACTTTTAAGGCAAAAATTCTTATTTTCATTAGTTTTCAACATAAAAGCTTTCCGGAAACCTATCCGGACTGCGCACGTAAATCGAGGAGGGTAAAAAATAAAGTTTTTAAGGCTTAAGAGCGTAGATTCGAGTTCTAGAACATAAGATGATCTTTTGGGTCATCACATTCTCCACCTCTAAACCAACAATTCGTCCTCGAACAGACATAGAAAAATACCTGGGCTAGTGAAAAGGTGGGGATATCTACTCCGCATATCGGACTCGGACTCCCAAGTAGCTGCCTCAATAGGCTGACCTCTCCACTGCACTCGAATTGAAGGGTAACTCTTTGATCTCAACTGACGAACCTGCCGGTCTAGAATGGCCACCAGCTCCTCCTCGTAAGTCAAATCCTTGTCCAACTGGATCGGAGGTCCTTGGTCTCTGAAACCAAAATACAAACCCGGTACTAATACGAACCTGGTACTAATAGTGCCAAACATCAATCAATTCTTAAAAATAATTAATTTTCAAACTTTTAATTTTCATCAAAAATTCATAACTTGAGCTAGGGACCTCCGAATTCGATTTCGGACATATGCCCAGGTCCCATAATTCGATACGGACCTACCGAGACTATCAAAGCACAGATCCGGACCCGTTTGCCAAAAATGTTGACCGAAGTCCACTAAAATTAACTTTTAAGAAAAAAATTCTTATTTTTATTAGTTTTCAACATAAAAGCTTTCCGGAAACCTGGCCGGACTACACATGCAAATCGAGGAGGGTAAAAATGAGATTTTTAAGGCTTAAGAGCGCAAATTCGAATTCTAAAATATAAGATGACCTTTTGGATCATCACATGATGTTGCAAGATTCCTCTTGGAATTTGGATTGTCTATTCGAGGTCATGATGAAAGTGAATCTTCCAAAAATAAAGGCTTTTTATAGGGCTATTGGAATGGCTTGCAAAGAGGCTTCCGGATGTGGATAGAGTTATATTAAAACATGCTCTAAAAAATGATATGATGACTTCACAAAAAATTCAAAAGGATATTGTTAGTGCTTGTGCACAAGAAACTGTGAAAGCTATAATTGATGACTTGGGAGGGGATTATTTTGGGGTATTAGTTGATGAGTCCAAGGATATTTCACACCATGAACAAATGGCCCTTTCTTTGCAGTATGTTAACAAAAAAGGCCAAGTGAATGAGTCATTTATTGGTATTGTTCGTGTTGGTGATACATCTACAAAGTCATTGAAGGAAGCAATATATTTTTTACTATTGAAACACTCATTAAGTCCATCCAAAATACGTGGACAAGGATATAATTGAGCTAGTAACATGCAAGGAAAGGTGAATGGTCTTAAAACTTTAATTTTAGAACAAACTCCATCGGCATATTGTATTCATTGTTTTGTGCATCAATTGCAATTGACACTTGTAGTTGTGGTTAATAAACATAAGGAGGTGGAAACTTTCTTTGCTATAATTGCTAACGTGTTGAATGTAGTTGGAGCATCTTTTAAGTGTAGAGATCAACTTCGCGATCATCAAGCAGAATTGTTGGATAAATTGCTAGAGAGTGGTGAACTTCAAAGTGGGAAAGGATTAAATCAAGAGCGAGGGCTTCAAAGGCCAGGTGACACTCGTTGGGGATCACATTATAGAACGTTGGATAACTTTATTGTTTTATTTTCATCTATTGTTCACGTGCTTGAGGTGGTTGAATATGAAGGTTCTGAGGCTGATGATAGATTACAAACAGAAGCGTTTTTGAGTAAAATCAATGAATTTGACTTTATTTTCTTGCTTCACTTGATGTTGAAAGTATTGATGATGTCGAACGAGTTGAGTAAAGCTTTGCAGAAGAAAGAGTAAGATATTGTCAATGCCATGGTATTTCTTGACCTCACAAAGGAAAGGTTGCAAGTAATGAGAGAAGATGGATGGGTGTCATTGATGGATGAAGTCTCTTCATTTTGTGCTAAACATGATATTGTGGTACCCAATATGGAAGAATTCTATTTTTCTGGAAAGTCAAAGCGTAGACCTTCTATTGTTACGTATTCACATCACTTACATGTTGATCTTTTTTATTCTGTGATTGATTTGCAGCTTCAGGAGCTTAACAATCATTTTGATGTTATGAGTGGTAACTTGCTTCTTGGTATGGCTAACTTGAATCCGGTTAATTCATTTGCTAATTTTGATAAGGAAAAAATAATGACACTGGCCAAGTATTATCCAGATGAGTTTGGCGAATTGAAGCTTCGAGATCTTAGTCACCAACTTGACACTTTCATATTGCACATGCGACGTGGTGACCTTAGGTTTTCTGATTTGAAAGGAATTGGTGATTTGGCAAAAGCCTTGGTTGAGGCAAATCTTGCAAAGAGTTATTCACTTGTTTATTTACTTGTAAAATTAACTCTAATTTTACCTGTTGCGACTGCAACTGTGAAAAGAGGATTTTCATCCATGAAGTACATCAAAGATGAATTACGTAGTAGTATTAGTGATATATTTTTAAATGATTATTTAGTTTGTTATTTCGAGAAGGAAGTATTTACAAATGTAAGTAATGATGCTATTATTGACCGTTTTCAAGATATGAAAGCGCGTCGAGTTCAAGAATGAACAAATGATGTACTTTTGTTATATTAATATCACATTGATGGTCCGCCTCTGACAGCAAAAACAATATCTTCAATGAACAAGATATGGGTGGGTGTGTTTACATAAACCAATAAAAAACAAGAAAAGAAATACGGAGAGGGAAAAGTCAAACTCAAAAAATCCTATCGAGGGTTTTACACATATCGTTGATAAACTTGTTGAAATACTTAATCAGTTTGTATAATGCTACACTTCAACCAAAGAGATCCAAAGGAGAATTTCCCTTTACAAGACACAACATATATTACTTCCTCAGCCTAATGACATAGAACACTCCAACTTCTCAGATCCACATAAAATTTTCAAGTTCAAGCAAATCTTTAATAAACACATTAACTGCAGAGTTTACACACTTTCCCGTCTCAGTGCCCAAATATTCACATAATGCGGATGCATAATCCAGATCTATTTGGATCACATAGACCAGTTGTTTTAACAGTTCTAAGCTAAAGTTTTAATACTACAAGCAGCATTCACCAATGTCAGTAATAATATGTTGACTGCTACCATATAAGAAGCCACTAGCTAATCAACTAACCTCCTTCTATCCTCTTCAAATAAAAAATCTACTAAACCCAAATAAGGATAATCCTTATTTAGGGCGGGTAATATACAAAATTAGGATAATTTTGGTAAATAAGTTTCAAATATTGTATAGGAAGGGAAAAATCCCTTTTGTATTTTATGATCTGATAATAATATAGTACTATTTACAGTTACAATATTTTTTGCTTGTAAAACATAGTTCCGGAAGAAAATAGATATAGGAGTTTCTTTTATTTTTTAAAAATACATATAGGAGTAAGAATTCAATTACGAACCAGAACGCTTTCAAATTTTACTTATCATATGAAGTATAGAGAATTGATTGATATAT